TCACAGTATTTTGTCTAAAAATTCAAACGTCCTTCAAATCCTGTTTGGTAAAAATGGTTTGTATAAAAGCCTATGGGAGAGGATTGATTTCAGTGATGTGTCATCAGGTTCTTCTGGCACCTGTTGTACTGTGCTAGATGGAGTAAAAATTCAACCTCAGTTTTAGCTACCAGCCTGCAAGGGGCACTCTGGACACCCCGACTCCTTCCCTTCCTGCCCCCATGTACCTGTAATGGTAAGAATGTACTGTCATTTACAATAAATTTCTTGTCAAGTAAGATGCTAAGAGGACAATCTTCAGGCAGATTTCAGAAAAGCATGTAACTGCAACAAAAACATCTTGAACTGGTGAGGTACTATGGAAAAACAGTGACTTTGGGCAGTCAGTTGGTCCCTAAATTAACAGTTGAAGTGAGTTAATACTGCTCCCAGCCACTTTGTAATACTCTGCCAATACATATGGGCATCATTTGAGTGCTTTGAATGGAAAGTTCCAAATCTTGAGGCGTAGGTACTTATTTAAGGAAATCTGACTCAATGGTCAGAACTTTCAGAAAATACCTCAGTTGCAGAATCAACCAGGCTGGCCCTGTATCCCAGGAAACATAAACATCAGAAGGGGAAAAAAAGTGAAAGTTTACATCAACACATTAGGAAGTAACCACTCATTGTGGCCTTAAAGCTTTTTTGTTAGGATGTGTGTAGTTTCAGTATGTACCTTGCTTGGCGAAAAGCTTGTTTAGGACAATTTCTCACTGGCTTTTAGACTTTTGCAGATCTAAGATTGATTGAAAAGCATAATGACCTTTGAATATTCAGCAAAGAAAACCAGTTCAGTTCTGGTAATCATGGAAGTCTGCACTCAATCTGGCTGTTAGTACTTGATCATATGTTAACAGTTGTTAACACAGAGTACTAAACTTTTTTTTGTCTACGGCTGAAACAAATTTTAAGATTTTTAGCTTTGTTCTTACTTTTCAGGAGACTAGTTCAAGTTTTGCTTTCTTCTTGTACTTCCCACCCTCCCACCCTCCCCCCAAATACAGTTTAGTTCAGATTGGGAGATCTGGCAAGACAGACAGCAATTTTAAAACATCTAGATAGAGGGAAGAAGTTACTTTGTGAAACACAAATGATTTTTCCTTTGTGTTTTATTTGAAATGGAATAATCTGGTAACCTGAATGTCTCATGAGAACCGATTCCAGGTAGAACTTGCATGTGTAATTGTTTGTTTTTCTACCTCTTCAGGGAGAATATAGTACAGTATGGGATTAAAGAGAAGCTTGAGCCTTAACACCAGGGCAAAGTTATGTTGTAATTTGTGCAGCAGAGAAGTATATCTATCCTAGATATACTTTGAAAAAAGGCATCATTCTTTGAAAAAATTACATCTATATTTTTGCATATTAAAAAAAATGTGGCCTGTCTAGTGATTTTTTTCCAGTGTTTAATTCTGATTTGTTTTTTTAAATGAAAGTAGCTGATTGAATCATTTGATGAAAATTAGGTATGATAATAAGTTGTACAGTAACTTACAGTAACTCTATTGAGACTTGGTTTCAAATGTAACTTTTATCACAAGTTAAAGAGAGCCTTATAATCTAGTTTGCTTTGTAGCTAAGTAGTTTAACTTAGCAGTGCTGTTGTCTTAGGAATGCCAAGTTAAAAATATATTAGATATTTTTAAAAATGTTAGATGATGTTGTTTGAAGTGAATATGTCCAGTCATACTGTTCCTGACTTCTCTTTTTCCCTCATTTTAATAAATACTAAAATTTACACTTTCTAAAATGAAGCTTTAACTGAAATAAAGGTTTTAGATAGACTTTTATGTATTCAGCTTTTTAGTAGACAACTTAAAAGGTTCCTTTGTTTTATTAGGAGTCCACATCTCCAGTTGTTTCACCACAGCAATCCCCACCAACCTCTCCACATACATGGAGGAAGCACAACCGCCATCCCAGCGGAGGGAATAATGAACGACCTCTTGCTGGACCCGGGCCTTTTTGGGCTCCATTTAGTGAAGCACAACCAGGTATAAATGTCTTCTGTTATGCTTCAGCTGTAACCCAAAGTCAAAGAATTCTTGAATAAGTATATTAAATGAGTGTAGAGCAGTTAATCTTTTTATTTTCCATTCGTGGAAAGTTTCTTGCAGAATCAAATGTTCATGGTGACAGCAACACAGTGGAATCTCAGCTCATGTATATGATGGATCCATTTCTTAGTATGCTATGGGAAATGCTTGGAGTTGGGAGTGGGGGAAGAGAGTATTAAACTTTCCCAGTGGAAAGTTTTCCAATACAAAACTGACGTCCTATTGAAATTGTGCAGGAACTGTCAGTACAGCTGAAAATATGGGAAGCTCAAGGGAAAGCAGCAGATAATGCATTGTTTGTTTGGATTAATGTTTCTGGTAGATTAGATGAATTGTCAGAACAACTAATTCTTTCAAAGTTTCTTTGCTTTCTTTAAAGTTTATGTAAACATAACTGAAGCTACTGTATCTCCCGACTGTCAAGGTAGAACCACTTATTTCAGTAAAACTTTTCATCCTTTATTGTTCTTCATTTAACATGAAGACTCTCCCTATTATATTGCTGTGCTCAGATTTAAAAAGCTTTCCCCCTTAACATCTCGTATTTCAAGAAGTTCTATTGTGTTTTCTAGTATCTGACATATTATTAATAAATTTATTAGAGCAATTCTAATTCCTGTTCTGTCTTTGATACTGCTGAATAATATGTTGCATTTTACAGGTTGTAGTTTCAGATTAAACTGTGGTTGATTGGTTTATTTCAGTTATGATATTTCAAAGTTGGTCTGTTACCTTTCAATTTATTGTCATCCTGTAGTTACAAGCATTTATGGAGGACCAGGGATTCTGTTCTTAGAATTGGTTGAATAAGGAAATAAAACCTATTTTAGAAGTGGGTTGTATGCAGAGGTTTATGCCAGCATCCCAGATGTTGTTTGCTAGTAAGTGCCAGCCAATTTAGACAAAAAAAAATAGTCTGCTCATTGTATATATAATCACTTCTAAGGGGTCAGTCCAGGCATTGTGATTTTTCATCAGTGAATTTCTTGACTTTTTTTTCTTGCACAGTTTAGTTGATTTGCTTTTCTTGTAAGCTGAAATATAAGTTTGTCTGGTAGCCAGTTTCTACTTGTAAAGCTTTTCTAACTTCCAAAGTCAAGGACTCCAGGAAACTATGCAAACTATTCCTACTGTTGAAGAGTTCAGTATCGTCCTCTTAAAAATAAAGCTGTAATACCATGTTCATACTTCTGTTCTGTCAATGCGAAGGATAGAATGGATTTTCATATATTAATTGAACAAAAAACTGTCATCCTTCTCACTCGGTGAAAAGAATTCACTGAGCGATTCTTTGGCACTGCAGATGGTTAATTATTCCTTTGAATTTCAGCTTTTGTAGATAGTTTATCATTCTTTTGCACTCTCTTGAGCCTACTTTTTAAGGACGGTATTTTGTAGAAAAATACCTGACGTTCAGGTAGAACCAGATAGACTGTTGGTTAGTTTTCTTAAAATCAGCACTGCAAGCTCATCTTGATTCCAGTGCAAGATGTTATTGAGAAATTGGATAATTTGCAAGTACATTATATTATTTAAGTAGGATTTAAGGCAGGACTGTGCCATTTCACTTGTGAGCCAAGAAAAATAAGAATCCAGGTTTCAGCTTTTATGTCATGTTATGTGAAATATATATTATTTGAGGGTAATGGGGTTGTCAACTGAAAGCATGGAACCTGAAGTGTGAAAATGTTTGATGGGTCTAATAATGAACAGCATGTTGCCTTAAACCAGAAGGACAAAAATCAAAACTTTTTTTTTTTTTTTTTTTTTTTTTTTGAGAGGCAAATTTTCTTTAAACAGAAAGATTCTGACTTCACCATAGTAAAGACACTCCATTGCATCTTCATACTCCCAGCATGAACAAAATTAAATACTGCTTTCTGTATCGAATTGGGCTGTAATTATTAGATAATGGCTTAATTGTTGTTTTTAAAAATCTTGCATCTGAAGTCTTAAGCATAATTTACAGCTGTAGCCCTCAATTGCTTAGGGAAGAAAACCTGTTCTTATCTCAACAGAGCAAAACAATTTGGATTTTACAAATTTTTTTGCCACTGTTGTGCAGTAATTCAGTTAGGATAGTGCTAGTGATGCTTCATAAGTAGATGTCCCATTTCTCGCTTACATCTCTGATCTGGATCAGTCTTCATAGAAAAATACAATGGATGACTGAACCTCTTGTAAGAAACAGAACTGTATATGAGATGAGAGCCTCCTATTCCTATAGTTACAAGAGAGGAAAAATATACTTCATACTTTTACCTTTTCAGCTTATTTTGCACTCCAGCTTCAGCTGCTAGAAGGATCCTGATAGTGATGAACTTGAGAGAACGAACCCCCTCCCTGCTTCAAATGATAGTTGAGTGGCATGTCTGAATAGGGGCTAGAAGTTTGGGGTTTTTTTATTACCTTGTACTCTGGACTGGAAGCGGAGCAGCACGTTTATGTTGGTAGTGCCCAAATAATGATTTAAAACTAGTAAAAAAAAAAAAAATGAGGTCTTCTCCATTCAAAGTGCTGTTAATGGTGTTATTACTGGTGAAAATGCATGGAGAGCATTGAAGGTTGTTTCTTCATTGGGTTACAAATCATAAAATAAAAATACACAGATTGTTCCAAGTCTTCTCTGAGACCCAATGTTCTTCCACCGTCTCTTCTACCTCAGTGTTCCCAGTCTGGTTTTGTAGTTTTTGAAGAAAATGAGATTTTGAGCAGGGGAGAAAGGAAACAGTTCTTGTAATACTTGTAAATGTATTCTGAAGGTATGACAGTTTGGTGCTACTGCATCTGTTACTGTCAAAGTACCACTTTGGAAGAGGTGCTGTGCTAAGTGGGGTACAAATTGAACTGTTCTAAGACAAGTTGCTGGGGGAAGTAAAGGTATATAAGGTTAGTGAGAATGTCAATGTCTGAGAGACAGAGAAGCGGCGAGCCATTGTATCAAAAGTAAAATTTGAGTGTGGCATGTCTGTATGGGAAGGACTTGTCTGAATCTTACTGTCGGTTAGATCTGTGCTGAGAGAGACCAAGTGGGCAGAGACTCTGAGCTTTTCTGTATATGTCTTTCTAGTGCTTTAGAGTTAGGTGAGC